TCATTTTTTTAAACTGAACTTCATTAATTAAACAGAGACAAAAAACATTACTGCACAATGCATAGAAATTAAAAGCACACAGGAGATGGTGCTTTCAAGTTGTCTCCAAACATAGCAGAATATAACTATTTTATGCTATCCAGACCCAATAAAAAAGTTTTCAATTGCAAGAGTTTTCAGTCCCGAAAGAGCATCACTTCCCTCAGACCAAGAATTAGTAAATAGTACATGCCAAGACATTTGTGTTATGAAATCATAAAATTAGTGAAAAATGGAAGTGAAAGGGACACCAAGAGATAATCTAGCCTATTTCCAACTGCATACAGCAGATGTGTAACTACTTGTCTATTGGAAAGTCACATAACTCACTTTCAAATACCTTCAGTGATGGAAATTTCAGTTTCCATAGGCAGTGCTTCTTATTTTTAGTTTTGCTAATGTATAAGCTCAGTCTGCCTCTCTGCAATTCCAGTCTGTGTTGTTTTATTATATTTTTTTTTTTCTTGCCCAGCATGGGCAAGTTTATTACCTTCCTCATAGCTGCAGCCTTTAAATATGTGAAAACTACTGTCATGTCTTCTTCACACTAAACAGCCCTACATCTTTCAGCCCTTAAATGGTGGTGAACATGAACATTCATATTTCAAGAGCTCTGAAAAAGATATAAAAAACTTTTAACCTTTTCAGCATATCTCATATATATAATTTAAATTTGTTTTTCACTTTATCTTTTTTAGTATTCAATAGAAAAGAATATAGTGTAAAGGATTCTTCTTTCCTGAAGAACGGAGGTAGAAAAGGTATTTGCATGTAGCATTATAATACTGCCCTTGATTTTTGAGAGAAATTTGATAACAGTAAAATAAGCAGTTGCCTAGTCAGAACTGCAAGTCAGACTTCATATTCCTTGAAGACATTTCCCATCTACAGTCATTTTGTTTCAAAAAATAAAAATTCAGTAAAATTTTCTTGTTGTTCTGATCAGAGCCATGGAAGGCCACAGGTCTCCCACATTCCTTTATATGTCAAGACATAATGTTTGAGTCTTGTTGGAGCTGACGTTAGAAATTATAGAATCACAGAATCATTTAGGCTGGAAAAGATCCTGAAGTCCATCAAGTCCAATCATCATCTAACACTACCAAGTCCACCACCAAGCCATGTCCCTGAGCTCCACATCTCTTAAATGCCTCCAGGGATGGTGACTCCACCACCTCTTTGGGCAGCCCGTTCCAATTCCTGACCACACTTGGTACAGGGTATTATGAAGTCAGGCAGAAGTACCAGGATGTTTTGCACCAGAAATATGCTTTTTTTCTTGCTTTTTCAAAAGACAGGACATTTCTATGTTCATAAGCATTACCTGATATTTTCTTACTTCTTTTGCTTCTTTCTGCTCTAGTATGTATTTAAGCAGGGGAAAAATATAAATTATTTGTAATACACTTATAAATCCCTTCTGGTAGGGGACTTTATGCCTCTGTGCATAAACAAACAAATCTCACATCAGAGGTGGCTTAAGACGTCTTGTTTCAGATGCCATCACTTAAGAAGCCAGAGGTTCCAAGGTCACCAGTTCATGTTGGTTTTGGTTTAGTGAATATTCAATATGTGTAACCAGTCTACATGAACAGGACTGTGTGGTATACACTACACATAAAACAGCAGAGTTTAGTTCACATTTGGGGGAGTTGTAGTTTTAAGTTTTAACCACTGAGAAAATGTAGAACACCATGAAATAAAAGTCACACAGGTCCTTCTATTACACGTCTCCAGGAGATGAGATGATACCAGAGAAGGTATATCAACAATGTTCTGCTGATTTAACTCCATAGTAGTGTCACTTTTGAAATAATTCTGGAGCATTTATTAAAAAAAAAAAAAAAAAACAAGTCAGTTCCAGAATGTTGTGCTCATCTCACAGTTTTGGAGGATGGTAAATCAGTTAGAAATGCATTCTGGTATCTGCAATGAGATCTCTCCTTTTCCTTTTTTTTTTCCCCCCAAAGGGAAATCATTCATATCAGTCCCCAAACTGCATTTACTTGCAATTTTTCCAAAATCACTAAGACTGCCTATGTCATTATCAAAACTTGGTATTTGTAATGCAGTGACTACAGTAAAATATAGATTTCCAATAGAATATTTAACAATTTAGAGACTGATCAAGCCATACTAAGCCTTTAAATACATCATGAAATATTGTTTCCAGGAAACTAAACATTAAACAGCAGGGTGTAGATTTAGATACACTTTGCTTCATAAGGTGATAATGAAGTTAAAGAGACGTCTTGAAATTAATTATTTTAGACCACTACTGACAAGAGGTAAAGAATGTGCAATAAAGTCTGCCAAACTCTTTACCTACATGTAAAAAGAGAAGAAGCTACATTGACCAGAAAGATCAGGCTGGGTTAATCAAACTCTCTTACTTTGTAAAATTAATTGAGACTCTCTCTCTATGAAGATGTTGAATTCTTGTGGTATACAAATGAAATGTACAAAGATAAATTTCCTAAGGGTTAATACTACAAGTATATATTTAAAACAAACAAAAACAACCTTTTTTCACTACTTATATCAATGTTGAAAAACAACATTGGTAAGCCAACTTTAACAAACTCTCTCTTTCTGGACAGTAAATGCATATTGCCAGCAACCCTGGCTGTAGAAGTGAAAAATCATTGAACTTAACCTTTATGTAGATTTGGAAATGGGGTCATGCATTCTTAATATCTGGCTGTGGCCCTGCTATTCTGCATTTCTCAATATCTCACTGAATTTCTGATGATTCTCATAGAAGTGTCAGTCAGGAATCTACTGCAAATACACGAGCTCAAAGTACAATGAACAGATGAGAGTTTAGCACTAGATGGCAATATACCTTTGTAAAATAATCCTCTAAGGTGTCTGTAGATATATGCAAACATTTTTCTAACCTCTGTACTACTACTTAGCTCTTTTGTGGGTTTAAGCATACATTTTCATTTGGTTTGCACTAAAATAAACTTTCCTTTCATACTATTGCATTTTTCTCATTTCATGCTTTGAATTAAGGTAAGACACTACCCTGATCTAGAGCTGACAAAACAGAAGAGATTCACAGTTTAACTGAAAGGATGTTACACATCATTCACTATTCATTGTATGTGGAAAACATAAAGAACCGCATGATGAAACCTGACCAATTCTATCATGCTTGGAGAAATGTAAATCACAACAAAGCTTGGTTTTGTGGGCTACCACCTTCCATCTACTGATGTCAATCAGAACATGAGCTTAATCACATACCTGTTAAACTCAGGATTCCTTCGGGTAGCCTTTTATTCCATTACCTGAATTACATTGATTCTCCATTTTGTGCTCATGCCTGAGCATGTAGCCTCTTCTAATTGACCAAGTCAATTATTCAGGTAGAATAGAGTGAATTGTACCACAGTTAACCAAAGTACTTTGCCTGGCTTACCTGTATTTGGTGCAGCACTTTCTCAAGTTCCTTGGAAAGCCCAACATGTTATAAATCAAACCTGTAAACCCACGCTTTGTAAAACTAAACCCACATTATAATTATCAACTAAGCTACTAATTGTTTGGTAGCTTGGTTTTTTCCAAGAATGATCAGCATTTGAAGGTAGTATTAATCTCTCAGTGATAGAAGCACTTCACAAAGGCCTTGGCCACCTCCTTGCATGAATTCAAGCCCATCTTCCTGTTACCATCCCTTATTTTTCTATGAAAATGGGTTCTTGAAGCTGACTCACCCACCCAACTTACCCTCCTTGCCAACAAGAGGTATGAGTAAAAGATCCCAAAAAAAAACAGCAGAGTACTTGCCACAATTGTCTGTTCATCACTTCAGCTATTGCCCTATGGAAAGCTTGTTCCATAATTTTGCACTTTTACACCTTTTGTACTTCATATGGACAATGTAGTAGGTAAGAAGACGGAACATCACTTTATATATACATATATATATACATATATATATATATAAGAAAGCATATTAAAATTTCTGACAGAAGCAACTCAGTGTCACCAAATTAAGGATTTTTGTCTCAAAAACTTCTCAACCTCTACCACCCTGATATTTAGTACTTATTCTAGTTTGACCTAATGTGAGCCAAATTGGATGTATGCCCTGAAGCATATATGATTGGGTTATAACAACCATATTGGCAAGTCAATGAAAATTTTATTGATAAAAGTCACACTGGAAACATCAAGAACTTTGACAGTTTGATAACAGTCCTCAATTGTAACAGTTCTGATAGTTTCATTCAGAAAATGCTTGTGTCAATATTTCAATCAATTGCTAGCTGATCAACCACTAATTTATTAATCCTTCACTCCTAATTCAGGATTTAAGTGCCAAAACTGAAATTATCTCCACAGGTAGATCACGCTCATCACCAGCAAGATGTAATACTTATGAAAAATTTTGGATTTGCATTTGACCTCAGCTTGTGTTTTTATGAAGCATTTTTTGTTTTATTCCAGTGGAAATAAAAAAAAACAAGAGTTAGTGGAAGAATATATCTTCACTTCCACATATTTACATTTCAAATCTTGCAGCATTGTGCTAGGGCACGATCAGAAATCATTCCAGCTGAGCAGAACAATTGCTTTAATCATAGTTACTGTGTGTTACTTCAAAGTTAAATGTAATTATTAAAAATTAAAGAAAGCAGGAGCCCAAACCCCTCAGGTATTCTAAGGCACATAAGGACAATAGCTTGATGCTTGATTAAACACGGGGAGGTTGTTTGAACTTATGTTAGCACCCAGATGAAACACTTCTGGCTTTAACACAAGATAGACAGCTACAATGACGGCTAGCTGGAAGAAATGTTTTTCTCTTCCTCCAGTACAAGAAATATCTTACCTTCTACTGTCAAAATGACATGAAGCCTGACAGTCCCATACAAGTAATTAGTAAGTCTTGATGATTAGATTACTGGTCTGAAGACCTTCGTATCCTAGAAATTTGCTACAAAACTTACCTCTTTCCTGCAGCAGTAGGTCCACTTATGTGATCCGGTCCATGAAATGTTGCTTGAATTAATTCATGGAATTTGTGACAGAAGATTAAAGATGGCTTACACTGTGCAGAAGTTAGGTTTGCATCTCAGTGATGGCCTAAGGCCAAAATAAATACCACCACAAAGTGGAATAATGCCACCTTCAATCTGATGTTAGAGTCACCACCTGTTAAGACACAACTACCAAGCTACATCTTCATCTCCTCTGCATCAGCCTTGTTTCTCTTAAGTCGCATGCTTTATGATAACAAAGATGAATCACATGAAGCTGGAAAAAAGTGCTTATATTTGAAAGGAAGGGGCTTTAAAATACAGCAAAACTTCAGATGAAGATTGGATCTGGAATTTGATCTCTTTTTGCCTGAACACCAGCTTCCCATTTTTTTGATAATGCTTTTTCATTAGAGCAGCTGGAGGAAAACCATTTTCGTGTTCTCCTTCTCTTGTATTTTGAAGCTCCTGCAAACCAGTTTGAGTCTATCAAAGATAAAGAGCTAACTGAAATCATACTGAGTGATGATGTGGAGCACCTGATGCACGTATCTCAAACACAGCCACAAAATGGAGATCAGAAGGTGCTGAGGGTAATATCCATGAAAGAACAGCTGTGTAAACCTCAAGGGAAATGCACCTGGAATACCTCCATCAGCTTCTGTGTAGTTACTCTATATCTGCATAAGTATAATAGAGAAAAAGCTGGCCACTGTACAGAAAAGTTTTTTTATCTCAGAATGATGTCAAGAGTACAGCTTTGGACCCAGCCAGAGAAGGCTGAATGGTCTAAGAATGACCACAGCCCCACTGCTTACAAGCCCCAGCACCAACTGCTGTCTCTTGTTTCTGATGCCATTGAAGGAAAATGATGGCTCCTGCCAGCAGCATCAAAAACATCATTCAGAGCTCTCTAGAGATCCTGTTACCATTGCAGGTTTCTTTATTTGCAGGCTGTGAATGCTCTGTTTTTTTCATGCTGCTGACAAGCCTTGATCCAGGTCCCCAGGGAAGGTGAACATACTTCTAACCCAGTCTTAAAATGGGTTGAGAGAATATTGCATGCCAGCACTGCAATCATTAACAGAAAGTGTACATCTGATTAGGGCAGAATTCTTTTTGAGGTGGGTGTAATGTGTCCCTGTGACACAGGCATGGTGACATGACATGGCATTGTTCTCCTACCATAAAGGACCAAAGAAGTCTATGTTAAGCATTAGCCAAACAGAGGCAGTTGATATCTATCTATTTAGATACTAAGAAAATGATTTGGAGTTGGAACTCTTTTGTTCTCACCGTAAGTTTATTGCAGCTGAGTGATGATGACCTTGGTGTTCTTTATTGTTTGCTCATGGTGTGCAAGCAAGAGATAAACAGAAGCACTGCAAGCCAGAGGAAACATCCTTACATTGAACTCTGCTGGGGGACAGACACAGCCCTGATCTGAGTGGAGCTGGGGAGAGATGACATGGAAAAGACACAGAAGTGGAAATAGATATCAACACAGCAAAAGCCACAGAGTCAGGACTTCAACACTGGAGGCTGGAGCAAGTGTCCTGCCAGGGTACACTTCACAGAGGAGGAAGGAGAGGAGGCAGGGTAGGAAGTCTGGAGTCTTCCTACAACTTCCTCTTTCTACCCCCACTAATTCCACACTGGAGCCTTCTCTTAAGATACTTATCAGTGTATCTTCCACTGCTCCTGATCCCCCTTTGCCAGTGCATATCAGTGTGCACATCCAACCTCATACTGTGTTTAAATACCAGACAGATTTAACCCTACACTTAATAAAAGCTGGTGGAGGGGGACAAGCATCACATCTAGGAGAAAATTCTTTACTTTGCAGTTTGGGGGCAAGGGTTACAAATGTTATCCTTTGGATGAAAGAGCTTTTACAAACAACAGAACAAAATATGAACCGACTGAGAAGGGCTGAAGGTCCATTAATGAAACTTGTATTCCCTAAACAATTCGAAGAGTCTGCAGCATAACTTAACACACTGATTTTTCAGGTATCACAGTACATGACACAACACAAAGCTGTACTTTTACTTAATAATATTATGTTTAACATCATCTAATAAGTATTTCACCAACTTTATTGGTAAGATATAGGCATATAATCTGTACCTGAGATGTTTTCCTTTGTACTTCCAATGTAGTCAGTGAGGTTCATTTATTGTCTTTATCATTATCTCCTCCTCTTCCACCTTCTCCTGTTTTAATACTGTTTGCAGGCATACAAAAGAATCTGTTACCTTGACTTTGAAACCAGCTGTAGTTTTTACATCACTCACCACCCACAACAGAGGATTTCTGCAGGTGTGAGATAGCTGCCACGAGAGCTCCATCTCCTGAGTTTCACTCTCAGGAAGAAGGGCATGTGATGCAGCACAGTTTCATTCTCCTTCTGCGACCTTCATCAGGAAAAGATTAACACCAATGTGCCATACTTCAAAGTAACTCCAACACTTTATGAGTCTCTTCCCACAGAATCAGCAGCACCAAGATCATATTTTACCCTAATATTTTGTCATCTCCCATGTAAGAGTAATTTTGTCTTCCTTGTTTCAGAAATCTCACAAAATGTGGGAGACAATGAATGGTCTCCCATTATTCTTGGAAAAGAATAAAGAATAAAACTTTCTGCTCCTATCATGTATCTCTTGACCCTGCTAGACTTATCTACAGTATCTGAAGAACCTGAATCTGAATCAGTAACTGAAGAGCCCTGCAATTCTGAAAGCATGTATTTTTTTTTTCTCACTGATACCTGTTTGTATGACTAAAAAACTTGCCTTGCAAAGGAGTGTCTTCATATGTCATGTCCTCTAGAAACTGCAATGAACACAGTCAATTCAAAAAGATATTTGAAGTTTTACAGACAGAAGAGACAGGAAACCATACAGAGTGTAGATAGCTTTAATCAGTTGACCCACATCTCCCTGAGGGCTCTTATTAAATAATAATAATGAAAAAAAGAATTCTCTTTCACAACAAATGTGAGCAACTCCCTATATCCATCTATTTTTGCATGAATAGGTTAGACTTGTCAGGCACAAAAGCAAAACTACACATGAGCCATCTTGCACCAAGAAAGTCTGACCTCTGAATGTTTCATAGAGGAATCTCTTCAGTTCTGACATGTGAAAGATATGTCATTGTTACTTCAGGAAAGAGAACTGATCCCTCTAGGCAATCCCATATCTAATAATTACAAGGGAAAGTTTGTTATTTGTGCTTTTAACTAGCTTGAGATTACATAACCTTTTGGGGTAGGAACAAGATTTTTTTTTTTTTTTTTCAGTAATACCTTTAAAATTCTGACATACAGAGAGCTTTTGATCACTAAGAAATCGCCCTCAATTTTTACATGTTAATAGGGCTTTTAATAACACAGTACTGTGACTGAACCTATACGCTCAGACCAAGCTTGTAAGATCACCTCTGTCCCTTGCAATACTGTCTATGAGCTAGATTTTTTCTTTATCTAAAATATACAGGGGAAACAACAGAGACAATTCTTGATTTATGCATGCTATAACAATGAGAACATCTGCAGCAAGAGAAAATTGAAAGGTCTGAAAAACCTTTCAAAGCTTGAAATCAAAGCTTTACCTAACTGTGAGATTTTAGGCATAGTTTTAGAAAATGGTGGCACACACTAAGCACATCTACTATCATGATGAAAAGCTCATAGATGTATCTTTATCTTTTTGCAGTCAGCTTAGGCTGGTCCCTGCTGCCATGCAAGAAAGTCTGCTGCTATTTATTTCTGCTAAAGACCACAGCCAAATCTAGAGGTAACTCTGGAGATCCTTGGTTACAGAACAAGTGCCAGCACTGTACTCTCTCACTTTCTAATTCAAAGTTTCAAAGAAGACCGTGTGTGCATTGTCATAGTAAGAGACAACATATCTGCAGCATTTTCACTTTTGAGAAGGCTTACTGACTTATACCAAATCCTAGCTTAATTGATAGAAGGCAATTTATAGATCTTTACATTCGTCTGTATTGTAGGTACCTCGCACAGGAATTGGAGGGCTCAAAAATTCTGCTTCCCATTATACGTGGGACACAGAAATTGAGTGCTAGTGCCAAGTGCACTTTTCATTTCATGGCTCCATAGGCAGAGGCAAAAACACAGCCCACTTTTGGACGCCACCAAGCACCACTGGCTCCTCCCCTCTTAGCCACATATCTACTGTACCACATTCAGCCAGGGGCTCCAGGGTGCAAAATAACTGAACACTACCCTCAGAATGAGGTCAAGGCAGCTGGTGTGTGGGATCTGGAGTCTGTGCTTCACGTTCTGCCTTTTCTGCATCTTTCTTCACCAAACCACAGCAAAAAGAAAACTGAAGTTTGTGTCCGTAGTAAGTATATAGTTCATGGATAAATGGACCTCAAACCTGTCACTTGCTGCTCTTCTTATGGTCTACAGTGTGGGAGAGGGGGTACTTTGTGAATACTGAAGTGTGTACTGCATACTCTGAATTCATTATTACATTGCACAAAAAGCAACACCATTTTTTAAGTAAGATTTTATAATGTTATCTCCTTAGTGTAGTCCTGGATGGAAGCAACTGAAGATAACTTTCTGGAATGACAAAGAGTGTTGTTTGTTTTATTTATTATTATTTTTACATCAATAAGAGAGGAATTGCATATCATTATTTTTAAATTGTAAAATAGGATTTCATAACTAAATTCCAATGGCCTGCAAAAACCCCCTTCACCTTGGAAGAGTTTTGCTATTCAACAATTTTCACTGCATTAACAAAATCATCTTCACCATAGAAGAGTTTCTGCTATTCTACTGGTTTCACTGCATGAACAAGTAATCAAATTTAATTATGTGAAACCCAAACAAGTATACAGTGGCAATGAATATGCAACATAGAACCCATGCTGTAAAACATTTGCAATTATGACATACTGTTGTTTGCAGGAGGCCTGAATTTGGTCTGTTCTGAATATCGCAAAAGCTTATATGTCACTTGTTTGTTTTGTTTTGTTTTCCCTGAAGATTCAATTTTATTTTCCCTATTTGGCCAAAGAAATAAAATAAATAAACAAACAAATAAATCTGGTGGTAAAATTTTACAATTTTGTCACATATATTTACAGGAAGTATGCTGGGCAATGAGAGAATTCATCACAGGAATGAAAAATCTTGATGTATCTTGAATTTAAGAAGAGATTGGACTGTGCACTTAGTCACATGGTCTGAACTTGGGTAGACCTGTGCGGTGTCAAGAGTTGGACTTGATGATCCTTAAGGGTCCCTTCCAACTCAGGATATTCTATGATTCTATGATTCTATGATCTTTATAGATATATCTTTTGTATGAAGTGAAATTTCATAACATGTTCAGTGTTTTCCAAGTAACAGTTTAGCCTAGATATTAGATATTAGATGACACAGTCATCACTTCTTGTGATGAAAAAGTCAGCATGTGGCTTTTTAAGACTAATTTGTTTTAATACTCAAAATACCGCTCAAAGTACTGCTGAGCAGTAGGGTTTTTTTTTTTTCTTCCTTTTGAACTCCCAGTTAGTCCTACCAAAATATTAATGTTCCAATATTCCTGGAAAATTATTTAGATGCTTCTGTTTGTTTACTGTCTGTCACTGTTGCAGTCTCTACCTCTAAAAAATGAAAAAACAAAACAAACAAACAAAAAAACTCTGTAAAATATATAAAATATTATGAATGTTTTTATAACTTGTAAAAATTTGAGCTAACTGCTTTCCAAATGCCAGGAAAAAGGAGGAGTTACATTGTCTAAAGAAATCAAACAAGTACTGTAGCTATGTAGATCTAAGGTAAGTATTTAGCATCTGTTAGATAAAGTATTCTCTATCATTGCAAAATCCTTGGGACTGCACTAACTATATCCAACTTAAAAAGCCCAGTAACATGAGGGGAATTCTGTCTGCTTTACCAGGTGTTCCGCCACGGTGATCTTACCCCGCAGGAGTTTTTTCCAGCTGACAAAAACAAAGAAGTTGCAAGGCAGCATGGATACGGACAGCTTACCAAGGTGTGTTTGTTTACCAGGGACAAAATACAGAAATATCAGAGCATGGTCTGCTGATACTTGTCTTTTAGCACTTTGTTTTAACTTGAGAAAGCTCCTGTTAAGTTGGTATATGCAGATCTCTTGTAGGACAGATGAAGAACATACCGGGAAGGTACAGTTGTGAGTAGTAACTGATTTCACTGACACCGAGTTGGCCTGTTCTGGTCCAATAGCAGCACATGTTGAGATGTTTGTAAACCGGGGTCTTCCAAGAGGAGACAGGTACCAGCAGCACCATGGTTCACCTGAGACTAAACACATAACTTCAACCACAGAACAAGGTGGTGGAAGCACTCACAGACCACCCTGAGTCTCTGCTGAGCAGAGATTCCTGGCTCATGAACAACTAAGATCAGTTCTGGCAGAAGTATCACATAAATATCACCTGGTGGTATTGACTAGCAACAGCCAAGGAAACTGCAGATCCCAGCTGCAGAAACCATGTTTCTACATTATCTGTCATTAGTATTATCCTCCTCTTCCTGTGAATGGCACAGAGGGTAAGCTCCTATCAGGCTCCAAACAAATATGGAGGTGTACTATCAGGCTCTAAACAAATATGGGGGTACTAAGAGATTTTAATCCTCCTTCTGCTCTGCTCCCACCAGCACTATCATTGTGTTTGTGCTTCATTCCTTTTTCCCCAACATAAGCTGTTTGTATCCAAAAATGCACTAGTCATTTGTCCAGTATACTGGGAACCCAGAAGCCTCACTGAAGCGGCTTAGATGTGCCAAAAATGAAAGTCCCAGACAAATGGCTATTGTGCATGTGTTTGCAGACTGCTCAGTGCGTGTGCCTCTGTGAGGCGGCTGTGCAGTATGTTTGTTCGTCATATTTTATCCAGCAAGTCCAGCACAATGCACATTTTTCTCTCCAAGGAGAACTTGTCACTTACCAGGTCTCCAACAAAATCAGGAGAGAACAAACAGCACACAGGGCCTCTCTGCTTCGTTCGCAGGAGGCTGCACCAATCTCTGAGGCCTACTTGCTCTCACACCACCTCCCTTGAGAAAAAGGAGTAATAGCTTCGCAGCAAAGCTCATTATCAGGCAGAAAGCAACAGTGAATGTCTCAAAGGTGGTTAAGATCAGCTCCTCATACCTTAATTCAGTTATGACTCAATCATTTCACATGTACGCTACACAAGTTCAGCGCTACATGCCAGCTTGCTCCAGGCCATGTAAGCTCTGGAGAGGTTCAAGGCCCAGACGTCAGGATTTAACAACACACATCTTAGGCAAGTTGGAGCATAAGCCTAGGCCTAGCATATTTCCTAGGAAACCCAGATGCACAATTCCAGAAACTGAAAGAGGCGATCACATACACGTATTTTGGGCCATGACTGGCATTTTGGATAAAGCCCTGAGTAACCTGGTCTGACCTTATAGCTGACTCCACTTTGAGCAGGAGGTTGGACTAGAGGCCTCTTGAGGTCTATTTCAACCTGAATTATGGGCTTTGGGAGGCAATTAATAATCACTGTACTTCAGATTCCAGTGCAGATTAATGATTAAATGAGCAAAGTCAATTATATTTCAGTTTAGTCTAGGAAACACCGCATACAAGTAAGAAGATCATAAACACTGAGACCATTACAGGGACATTGCATGTGATTCTCATGTCATGTCTTTACAAAAGGATGATGGTAAGTTGGAAAATATTCAGCAAAGAGCTACGAAAATGCTAAGGTTAGAAAACCTACTTGGCAGTGTGAGTAGAGAACTGTCTTCTAGCTAGAGTAACATAGAGATTAAGTGGCTTGATTCCATTTTATTGTTTACCATCTTACCGGGAATAAGATTTGTGATTGCGACGAATGCGTCATTCAAAAGGGTAACAAGATCCAGGGGTTGAAAGCTGGGCACATTGGCCAGAATTAAGAATCAAAAGTTTAAGACTGTAGATAACCATTGCAACAAAATACTCAAAGGCGTGAAGGTCCTTTACTCAAAGTCTTTGGTTCACAATTTTCTGTGTTCCCAAAAAAGAAGATCTTGCTCATGTTGAAACTATAGCTTCTGTATGGAATCACTGTTGTTATTCTGTGGGATTCATATCCTGGACATATCCTCATAGCCAGGTGGTTGCTGTGCCTGCAGTCCCAGTTAATTAGCTGTGAGCCAGCAAAACAACAGGAACTAGACAACTTTGTTGGGACATCTCTGTACCTGCTTTAAGTAACCCTGTCCCTCAGCTAATCTTATTAGCTTGGATAAACAACCACATAGCTTACTGCAAAACAAAATGAAAAACTGTATCTGCCAGGAAGACATATCTGATATTATCCTTACGGCTCACTCTTCCTACTCTTGTCATATGACCAGTAAGTATGCAAATAACATTTACAGTAAAGCCTATTGTGAAGATAACATTAATTAATAAGCAGCTTTTAATATGACAACTCTTATCACACAGGAATAGGAGGGGCCTTTTAAGCAATCAAATCCAGTCTTTTGCCATGGCAAAAAGCCATATCATACAATCTGCGTCCATGCATTTAGCAAGCTCCACTTTCAAACTAGTCGGGTATTTTTGCTTCCATTGCTCTCACTGAAAGCTTGTTCTTGAACTTCACCCCGATGGTCCTTCCAATTTCCATTTCAAATATGCTCATGGCTAATTCATATTCATTTATTTTGGTACAAATACTGTCCTTTTGCCTGATAATCTCTTTTAAATAAGGTAAACTCCCATGCCTCTCTGATCAAGTACACTACACTGTTATTTTCTTTAGTATTTACTCAGCAAGGATTCAAGCATTCTAGGGTGAAAAATGCAATCCTTTTCCTATGATGGATGCATTAGGATCACTACAGACATGCTACTTCCTAATTAAGTCCCTTTGCAGAAAGCAACATCTACCTAAACTACAGCCATATGCACAGGAGACTCTGACTGCTTGTCCGTTAAGATATGAGTTTCAGCTTAACTCACTAAGATGTGAGTTTCAGAGATGAATAGTGATGATCTCCATTTGCATGCAACATACAGAGTGCAAACAGCTTTTTTCTATTTTTTTTTCCCTACGGCTAAAGAAAATAAGTGCTAATGAGACTATGTTCACACAGTGGTTTTGTTTCAGAGTGGAAGTTAGAAAATAACTGTCAACACAGTAACTTTACCGATTTTTTTCTCCTGCTTTCTTTCCATCTTCCCTTTAGAAATGAAATACTTTAAGATCTTTATCAAAATTATTTATTAAAGATTATTTAAATTTTTGTTATAGGAATAGTAGCACAGCACACTTGAGCTTCTTACACTCTTCTGTCACTTCTACAGCTTGGCATACAGCAACAGTACGAGCTTGGACAGTACATGCGGAGAAGATACTCTCATTTCCTGAGTGTCGTTTACAAGCAGAATGAGGCAAGTACTGGATCTAGGAGGTAGGATGTTTTTCAAGGATATTGGAACTTTCTGAATCCAAGAAAGTCTGAACCTGGTATGCCTGGAGGTAAACCACTGAATTCAATGTGGTTTCAAAGTATCCCTGAAGCTGTGGCTCAACTTTAATTCAAGCCGATGGTTAGTTGAAAACCATGCACAAGGTTTTTGAGGCTGTAAAAAGGTTCAGATGCCTCACTGCTGTATGATACAGTATCTGTATCAAATATCTCCAATTCAGCACTTCCATGTACAGTGCAGACACAGCTTACTGTTCAGTTCCAGTTGCTCAGTGCATCCCTAATATCCCAAAGCCTAGTTGGCCAAATGGAGTCAGTTTTTCATTAGGACCCAAAGGGAATAGCTACCATGTCACAACTCTCTTGTCCACCAAAATTATATTCCAAGGCCCTATTTCAGCTTTTTTCTTTCTCCCTCCCCCATCTTTTTTCTTTACCCTACTCTACTTTAATGACAGCTCCTCCAGTATAGTACTAATCCCCTTCTTTTCTACCAAAAGAAGAAAATTAACAGAAGAAAACCAACTTCTCCCCCCCTCCAAAAAAAAAAAAAAATTAAATCTTTTCTTTTCATCCTTCAGATTTATGTGCAAAGTACTGACTGTGATCAAACACTTATGAGTGCTCAGGCGAGTCTTGCTGGGCTGTATCCACTGACACAAGGCCAGATTTGGAACCCCAGAATCCTTTGGCAGCCAATTCCAGTTCACACAGTGCCACTGTCACATGATAATGTGAGTATAAACTGGGGCATTTGCTTTCCCTTAAGCATTAGTAAAATATCCAAAATGAGATGAAGGAGCAGGAAAAAGGGCAGTGTAATAACAAAGAAAGGTATATCAAGTTACAAGCATTGGGTAAAAAGGACTAATAATTTGAGTAGAAATATTGCCAAGATTTTCCACAAGAATGGAAGATAACAGAGACCTGGAGTTAATGAAAAAAATAGAAAGAGAAAAAAAAAAAAAAGAGAGAGAGAGAGAGAGAAAGAAATAAAAAAAAAAATCATAGAGAAAAACAAAACAAAACAGAAGAAAACTCTTATTACAGGAATAAAACACCTTAGAAGTAGTAACAGATTGATCTTGTACTTGGTGTTATCACAACCATGACTTTCATGTGAGAAGAGGAAGAATACCTATTCTCACTAGTGCTTCACCTTTTTTTTAGGCTCCAGACAACTAAAAAGGTAAAAGAATTATTCTGTCATTCGCAATACAGTGAGAATTGTGTCACAGTATTGTTTTTTTTTTGTGCTTTGAGGTGCATGGTGTATGCATTTTGAGGTCTGGCAGAAAAAGTAAAGAGAAAAATAAAAATGACTAAGAGCTTTAAGAGCATAAATTCATAGGGTAATATATTTATTCATCTCCCTTCCTTTACTCCTCACCTCAGAGCTGTGCGGATAGCAGCTCTGAAATATGCATATACCTGTCCTAGAGCAGAAAGTTGGACAGATGAGTGGTGCTGGAGTTCCCGATTTGCGGAAAAAATATGGTAAAAAGCTAAGAAAAATCAGGAGTGCACAATGTGAGTCCCATTATGAGAGAGGACGTTCACATGTGATGTGAGATAAATTGCGTGGATTTACAAGTCAACACAGTCTGTGATAGGGAAATCAGGCTAAACAGGGACATGGAACTCTGGTTCACACCTCAGGGTGATGAGAGCATGAAAATGGAGGAAATGGAGACATATATGTTACTGTGCAGGCACACAGCCCTGGGGTAGAGTCAGGAGCTTCTTCTGACACTGTCACAGATGGTAGAACTCCAGCAGTCAAAAACACCTGGCCAGTATCAATACTGCTATCACCCTCAGCAAGCAGGTACTGCACCTCATTCACACCTAAGGGATCAAGTAAGTTTATTTAAAAAATAATAATAATCGTAATCACAAACAGATATGCTTTTTTTTTCCCCACTTTTTTCCCTAACATTCGTGTTTTAGCTTTATTCATCTTTACTACAAATACATGTAAGTTTGAGAACACATGTATCCTTCCATACACAAAAAAAAGGTTCATCATGTTGCTAAAGTCAGACCCGTTCATGAGCCTATCTATGGTTATATATAATTCAGAAATATTTTCCTACCTTCTGAAAAGGATAGATTATGTTTTTAAAAAGACAGAAAATGCTGTGAAGCTTTCGTAGGTAATTATACCTTCAGGATTCTCAATTATTATTATTTATTTATTTATTTTTAACTCTTTCAACTGTGGGACTGTATAACTAGAGTTTTATTTCTGGAAAAAGGACAAAAAACATATTAGAGAAAAATGCTAATAATATCTCAGTGTAAAAATTCAGTTTAGCTTTTGTTTAAAACTTAATACCCAAAAATTTCAAACAAGAATAAACTCAGCTTAGATAAATGAATTAACAAATTCTTAAGTTATTCATCTCACATGTAACATTTAACTTTCAAGTACCTTGAATTAAAGAAAAATCTGAGTTATGGAAACTTAAGTTTCTTTAATTTGGCTGAACTAAATGGAGCTGTGGTAAGTTCACTTAATGGAGCTGAGTATGCACAAAGACTCCTTTTGTAGTCCAGCTGGTAATTTGTTGCAAAAAGATGATGGTATGTTTAAACAAAGACTGAACACAATGAGTAAAATCACTCCTGAGGAAGCCAAGTACAAAGAAATACATGAGGGCTTATGTTAGTCCTCTGTCAAGGGATAAATTTCAATTTGTGTAGATGAGTCCTTCAACTTTGAACTGCTGGAACTATTACTCCTCTGAACATTTGAAGATTATTCTGTAAGTAGTCATCAATATGACTCTTACTGTCCTGAAGATGAATATCCTTGGAAACAACATTCCCAAAAACTTTTGCAGCTTGCCCTAATTAGTGCAGCCAATCAGAACAACAATCCTCAAAGTGTATGTTGAATTGCAGAACAAGAAGTGCCTTGCCTAACTAATGTTTTGCAATTTTATTTTCAGTTGCTGTACTTACCTTTCTCACACTGCCCAAAATACAATGAACTTCTAAGAGAAACCTTTGCAACAAGGGATTTCCAAAGGCAGTTCAAGCAGTACAGGGTAAGGTATTTTTAGTTCTGGAAATCTTCTAAATCAAATGTACAGCTTCTGGCAACCATATCTAACAGGTAGGTTAAAAAAAAAAAAGGCAGTTAATATGCTTCTTCGAGATATCTCACCTTCAAAGTGGGTGTATACGTCTTACCCAAAATACAATTACATTACAGAGCCAGCTGGACTGGACTATCCCCATCAACTGAAAATTGCAAGTCATAAAAAAGATAAATTGTTGACTACCTTGCAAAAAAACCCACTACACCTACCTTTTAGGAGAGCAGCGAAAACAAAAACTTAGATCAAATCAGTGTCTCACTTCAATACTTCTCTCTCTTCAGTCTCATGTTAGTAATTCCTTGACATCTCTGTCTGTATAATTCCTTGCTAGCTCAATTCCTCAAATCTTTATAATAGTCTCAGTGCTTTCCTCTCGTAACAGTTATCTCACACCTGAAGTCTTCATTCAGACACTCACTTAAAGTTCATTCTTAATGTCTCCCTTGCTTTCTCCACCATCAAATTCTTTGCCACAGGTACATAATTGTTTTTCTATTCCATTGCAACTTTCTTCATGGATTTATTCAAAATGGCACTACCAAACTCACTTGTTTTCCTCTAATCTTTAACCACTGAAACAGCCATCTACTTATGGCTCTGCATCTATATGTTACAGACAAACAAATCATAATTCCCAGTTTTAACAAAGTTACATCATACCTCCTTTCTACTCAGCAGCAATATCACAATAAAAGTGTTTATCACACTTCCTTTGAACCCTTTTTGGATTTCTGCTAGACTTCCTCTTGCATCTGCATCTCCTCTACCCACTTCTGAACCTTTCCACCAAATAAAAACTATGCCTGTACTTCAACCCTAAACTCAGATCACCAACCTCTTCTAGATGAATAGGCCAAATTCTCTTTTCAGCCTAAAAAAAAATGATTTTTTTTTTTCCCCCAAGAAAAACTAGTGGTATACAGCAGGTATAAATCAATTTCTTTAAGCCTTTAAGCTTTTTTGGTATATGTGTCCTGTCCCATTGCTCAATATCATAATTTCCCCAATATAGCTATGTGATACTATGTCTTATAGATTGGTAAGACTGGGACGTGGCTAAAAATAAGATCAGGATGTGGACCGAAATAGTAGATTGGGTTGCAATTAAGAAAAACCCAAGGTAGGAATGGAGAAGTGACGTGCTTGGCAACACACATGCAAGACATACACATGAAGTATGTATCAAAGAAAGGTAATATCTGGAATAAGGACCAGAAATGAGAACTTGTAACTGGAATTTAGAAGCAGAAGGGAAGGTGCAACTCAAAACTTGGATGAAAGCAAGGTTTCACAAGATCATTATGAATTTTTGTACAAGCATTCGTTTTATGTCAGGTGATTATATGAACATGGCATGAAGAAAAAATAAAAGGATCCACTGGAACAGGTAGTAACTGTCTGCCTGTGAGTACCGCTAGACAATGGTATGGTGCATGGGCGCTAAATGCAAAAAACATCTTGTTTCTAAAAATTGCTATGTGCTAGTATGGAAGTGTGTAGTAACAATGTAGAATGGCCCTGTGCGCAACTTAAATTTTGCTTTTTTGTATTCCAGCCATTTCTCAAATTTTTAGCATCTCACACTGGATACCCACTGAAGAAGTTGAACACTGAAAGAATTTGGAAGCTCTCTGACATTTTACAATATGAGGTAAATAATAAAAAAATTATCAAGGTCCAATAGAAATACTTGCACTTTTTTAAAATTAGTCTCAGCTTCTACTTCTACTGGTTGAATGACATCAAAAGAAGGTAAGTCTCTACTTCAATTTTTTTTTTCTGAACCACAGTCTATTTTCAGCTTCTTACTCAGGAACCCTCACTCACAATCAAACTTGCAACTGAAAATCCTCTAAAAACACTATGATTGTGCGAGACTGCTGTGGGTCATCCACCACGATAAGGAACACAGACCAATGGCCTACCAAATACAACATCATGTCAGGGACTGCATACGGACTAGTAGGAAAAAAATTACCATTGGATAAAATTGTCTTGTTACTCCTCCAAACCCCATCACAGGAGTAAAATTTGATGTTGGAAGAGAAACAGAGGAATCCCTCCACAAAGATTTTACATAAATTGCATAAGAAAGAGAAGTCATTATTTGCATATGGACAGTACTGGTCACAGTATTTCCAGGAATTAAACAGCCATTGGAATAGTACAAAAGGTTATTTGTGCTTTGAACTCTCATACTACTCAATGAAGACTTTGGAGGTATAAATTAAGATGTGTGCCACAAAAATCACTTTTTTACCTTTTCAAGTGTACTACTTGAAAGAGAGCTTTCTTACATAGTTTTTAAAACAGAATTCACCAAACTGCATTAGCATGCATCTCTGTATTTGTTACTATTGGTTGTCATCTGATTTTCAGGTAAGCTGAAGACTGAGGTGCTTGCTTGCCTACAGCACTGTCTTAAAGAGCATGTAACTAGGCAATTCGTTTCTCAAGACACAAATCTCATTTGTTAAAAGAAAAAGTGACCTGAGCTGGTTTAATCTAACATGTTGCTCTGTTTCACTTATCTGTTTCACTTAAAGACAAATCCTGTCTTTAACTTGTTGGCATTTTCCTTTAGAACTCCACCTGGTGAGCTCAGCCCAACAACTCACATTCATAGAGATTACACAGAAATACAGAAAGGATACCAACTTTATTTAAACTGGAATTCAGAGCAGTGCAAACCAGTTCCGGCATATATTTCCTTCTCACAGTAGCCACCCTTAACTTATCTTGGGCAGCTCCCCAAAAGAAAAATCAGGCCATTATACTTCACCTAGAGGACTGCATCAGTAGCTGATATAAGGAGAGCTGATATAAGTAGGTGTGAATTCCATCCATATGTCTAACCTCTACATGTACATCATACTCCAGTATATCCAAACTGTAGTTATATAGGTTCCTACTTAATCACTGGATCTTGTTCATTTTTCAGAAGTCCCGACCCTTAAATCCTAACATCTACATAGGATTTGTTTCAATAAATATCTCAGGATATATTCCAGCAGATGGCTGAAGAGGAGTCACAACATGAATTTTTTGCAACTGACAACGGCATTGGAAATTGTCATAAAGAATGCCATTTGATTTTTAAATAATAATTTTCAGCATTATATTTCCTCTTCTTGTTAAACACTGCCTTTCAAAAAATTTTAAGCAGTGTGATGCTATAAATAAGAATTCCACAACTGTCAAATGCAAAATATAGTCATTATGAAGAAAAAGATTTATTTGAGCAAAACATTCAGAATTTGTTCTGACAAGTATTTTGTGCCAAAAGAACTAACAATTAGCAGTAGGAACCAACAATAAAATCATAATGTTTTCTTTCTTCACTGTAGGATATTAACAATTACACTTTACCTGTTTGGGCGACTCGTGGCGTCAGGACCAAGCTGATAAAGCTCTCAGAATTGTTATTACAGGCAGAATTTGGGTTCCACAAACAAATACAAAAATCACGTTTGCAGGGAGGTAAGCTAATTCTTACCCCATTTAAAATCAGGAATAGAATGGGAAAGAAGTAAGCATGTATAATAACCATGGACATGAAAGATGCCATGATTTGGATATTGGTGATCAGCACTGAGAGATTTTGACTAATGGGATGAGAGATGTTGAGAATATGAATCACAAATATACTAATTCAACATTATTAAGGAGCTAGCATTTTGGTTATGTTGTATAAGAAACCCAAACTAATATACAGATTATTGCTGAAATTAATCAACTCTGAAATTGACATAAGCCACCAAGCTTAAATTAAAAAATATTATTTGTAATAATCTCTAGGATGGTAACATTGTTTCCTATGAGTCATCATTTTTCATTGCTGAGAGTACTAAAATGAGTATTCTAAGCTTTATTATTCTGTTCAACAAATTTTAACTGAAATTTTAAAATAGCTTATACCTTTTTAATCCACTGGATTCATCCACTCTCAACCTTTTGGTCTGATTTTCACTTTACATGGCCACCGTACAGTTAGGTTCTGTGAGCTACAAGGACAAATCACATATAAGCAAGGATTAATTTGTTTGCATTTGTTTGCCTTCTTGGAGCTCCAACATACAAATCTAAGCATGAAACTCAAACCTCTGCTTTACTACCAATTGTTATTAAAATTTGTTTCAGTAGCTGAAGACAACAGGTATGTTTAATTCTACTAGTATATACAGTTCTCATTTTATGACTTCAATTCCTGGAAGATTTCAATCTTATGTTAACATATTAGCACTGACATTGATATAATTCATACAGTTTGTCTCAAAATTTTTCAGAAATTAGCAAAATACAATCATATAATTTAAGAAGGCCAAGAGCCCAATGAATTTGCTCTTCTCTAGAAATCGTGAAGTCAACAGAGTTATAACCAACAAAGGGTAGTATTCATTACAGTGATCTTCTTGAACTGTTCTGGTGGCACAAAGCAGCTGTGAACAGACTGTTTAAAGCTCTCAAGGCTATTATGGATCCTGGAAATATTTTATATGGACTCAGAATCAGGTCCGCTATTCATGTAAAAATTAATATCAGACTTAGCAGGCCACTGTGTACAAATTACCTATAAAAGCAAAAGAACGAACCTGGTGCATTCAAAGACAGATAGTATTAAAATAGAAACAATAAGGATGTTAACAAAAGCATCTCTTTCTGTCATTGCCATTGCTTCCCAATTATCTTTCAGGTATTCTTTTAAAAACTATTCTAAAGCATATCTCAGATGCTAGAAGGCCTTCACATCAACAAAAAATGGTTATGTATTCTGCGGTGAGTCCTTGCTGTTTCTTTTATGTTACCTTTCTGTAGTTTTTAAATGCAGTGAAAGCATTTAATTTCCTTTATGAAATACAGATACAAGCATTTTTATTTGGTTAACCTTAAATATCATTGAATTATTCCCACTCTTTAACGAATAGAGACTACTTTGAAACCTGTAGAATTCCATTTTCTACCTGATAGTGCTGTGTATTTCATTGTAATACTGTTTTGATTGAGCAGAGAACTGAAAAGTCCTCTGTTTTATTGAAAATTTATCATTAAGTTAATTTAGAAACAAAACTCCTGCTTCCTGCACCTTTTTCAGATGCAAAAGCTTTTTTTTTTTAATTAAAAAAATAAATTTAAAAATTAAATTAGCTTGTTTAATTAAAAACAAAAAAAGATAAAAATGAACTTAAGTAAGTTATTTTAGAAGGTATAATGAAAGCAGTTACTCAATTGTGACCTTATATTTTTGTTTAGAATGAGAAGACACTCTCAAACACGAAGGAAATTCTTAGACTGCTCTGTGTAAAAAGCTCCTATTGCTAACTTGCAATTTGATAATGAAGTATAAGATATATATCAGCAAAAGAGCTTTCTGTTCAGATCTCAGTTGTCTACCTACCATGCAAAACCACCAGTTGTTATTAAAAGAGGTTTTCACATATCCTACTAACTTCGGTATGAACTGCACGTACTTAATACATCTTAAAAATTTAAATGTGTATATCCTCTATACGTGCAGCATTTCAGTTTGTGCAGCCGTAAAAGAACAGTACTTGCTCAAAACTGCTGAGGGCAGAAGGAAAGAATTAATGAACATCACGTAAGTAATATTAAACATGTAGATAATATATTGGACATAATGTTAAATAATAAATGCACACAATCATTTTCAATAGACCTTTAACTAAATATTTCTTCTATTTACAGCACGCAGCCACCATTGTTGCCTTACAGATGGCACTCAATGTTTTCAATGGGAAATTGCCTCCTTACAGTGCCTGTCATTTTTTTGAACTTTACCAAGAAAAAAATGGGCAAGTATCTTTAAGCTGTACTTCTAACCTTTTTTTTTTTTCTAAAAGCAGTTTAATAATATGCCAGACTAATTAAACTGGATACACAAGGTTCACTAACCAGAAAGAGATCACAGATTGATTTTAATTATTATAATTGGACTCATTTGAGGAGTTATTGACAGCAGCAGAACCACATCAGTGCAGTCTGAAACCTCTCTATCTATTGCTTCATTACAGTTGAGATATTTTAATCTACCCTTTTTATCTATTTAATTACTTAACTCTTTACCAATAAGACAGTCTACATGCAAATTGGCATTGACCATCTATTGTTTAAAAAGATACTGTCTGATTAATAATTATACGTATTATTAGCAAGACCAAAAAAAAAACAAAACAAAACAAAAAAAAAACAGAAAGCAAAAAACCTACATCTCAAAACATAATCCCTACTCTTTAATGCAGAAAATCTGTTGTGTGTACCTAACATTATTTTGACCCTTCTGTATTTTTAAACAGGCAATACACCATAGAAATGTACTATCGGAATAATTCTTTGAGAGATCCCCACCCCCTCACTCTCCCTGGCTGCAAATTTCACTGTCCACTAGAGAGATTTACTCATTTGGTTTCCCCAGTCCTCACGCAACATTGGACAAGAGAATGTAGGATATAGGACACCAAAAAAAGGTAAGTTAAGTGCTTTGTGCACATGTACGCAAAATTAGAGCCAAGATTACATCTTCTGCCAAGAGCTCATTTGAAGTTACAGTCTTTTTTGTAAGGTCTGGTCCAAAATGAAAAAAAAAAAAAAAAAAAAAATCCCATTAAGAAAGAATTGTATCCATGGCCATAGTTGTTGCTCCATTGACAGATTTATCTATTTCCACCCAACTTTCTGCTGAAATGGAATCAAGGCTGATTATACTTTAGGATACTATTTTTCATGGTGTCTTTTTTTTTTGTTTCAGTTTTGTGCAGTAAAAAAGAACTTCAGATACTGAATAAGCATATACAAATGTGCTAACTGTGTTAATTCACCTCATCTTTTCTAACCGTAGAGTATTTGTCCAAGCTGATTACCATCAGCATGCATTCTCTTGATTTTAGGAGACATTCAGAGATCAAAGCAGATGAGTATGGAATAGTGTATCGAACTGGTACTTACCAGAGTATCAAGCATATATAGACACACATGGGAAGTACTAATTCATTCCCTAGTACGTTGTCTATATCTCCATATTAGAATTTCTAGCTTTCCATTTTGACCACTGATTATATTTACATTTGCAGAAAGAAGGAGCTGGAAGGCAGAAATGTCTCGTGTATGAAGCTCTGTATTTATTAAGAGGAATGAAAAGTGAAGAGGCCCCAGGACTCACGTCCCTTTTTTTTTTTTTCTTTATGATCACCCCATATATCTTTCTGTACCACTGATCTCAAGAAGAATTCAAAATTTCAAGAGATTAGAAGAATGCAGGCAAACCAACTCATTTTATTGCAAAGCCTTTCCTGATATATTTCTTGAATCCATAAACAGAATGGAGATATTGCAGTTAGAATGGACGAATAATTAGAAAATAATGGTTCCCTAAATATGTTTCACTATATTCACTGTTCACAAACATAATTCAGGAGAAATGGGGGGTGGGAGGAGGAGAAGGTTGGTTCTGAGGATTTTTTAATTTTTTTTTTGCCAAGCAACTAATCTAGTCATGGAAAACAGTGATAAATACTTCATGCTTATACCATAGCATTTAGTAATCTAAGTCTGGTGGAAATTAGTTCCCTTCCTTCAGTGAGTAAACTGTGGAACTGACCAAGTAAATAAATAGAAAAAATATCTACCATATAATCAAAAATTGTCATTAATAAAGACCCAAATGTTTAGCCTTCAAGTTCAACACGAAGGCTGCACATTGTTTCAATTCTCAATTTTTGCCTAAGAAAAAGTTAGAGAGTATCCAGCCTTATTATCCCAAGTCCAGCAGTGCTGCTCACAACTGCTTTCATCAGCAATCCTGAGTATAGAAGACATATGTGGGCTACAGAAGAGATTAAAACCACAACTGACTCTCCAATCAAAATATTTGCCGTATTGTCATAGCAAAGTTTGACACTTTCCTGTATTTTGTCCTGGTTCAGAATGATTCCATCTCAGTAACTGCTGGGATCAGCTCCTGTTTGGGGGGGGGTTCATGACTCACAACAACTGCAGGAAGAAGTTTTAGACTCTCTGCTGTGCACGAGTGGCACCTGGGAAAAGGCAGTCACCCGGACACACTGCTCCACAACCTGCACAGCACAGCAAGATCTCAGATGGACCATACTGGGCTAAATCAGCATGAGCAGTGATGAAACATATTACCAATTCTCAGTGAATGCAGATAGGCTTGACCTATTGGTCTGTAACACCAGGAAGCAGAACCAAGCTGAGGAGTAATGCAGAGAGATTACAGATCACATTCACACCTGCAATACACAACTGAAACATCACTGATTCAGCAGTTTCCAGATTTGTCAAAAATAATTTCAAATATTGTTCTTTGCTCTTGCATTTGTTAATACTTTGATTATACTGGTATCCAAACTTTTCATGAACAGAGCTTATAAATGTAATTTTTTGGAATGAAATCCAAGGACGTGACTGCATTCAAAAATTAACCTTACATAGCTATTCTACACGGAGACAACATTTCCCACACAGAGCTGTTTCCACAAAATGCTTAACTGAAGGTTCATGGAGATGATTTATGTCCCCAGTATTGGGAAATACAGTGATTGGGGAATTATTGTCAGTACAGGTCACACAAGAGAGTGGTAGCAGTATTCTGAGAGTGGCATAAGTCAGCGCCAAGTTTCCCCACATGATGATGACTGTAGTATGGAACATAGGAAGTGAAGACAGCTCAGCTTGTTTGGGACGGGGATAAAAACATTTCTCTGTGCTCATTTGTCTTCTTGGGAAGTTTTCAGTGCGGATCAGCTAACCATTTCAACAGACTTTTTCTACTTGCGTCCTACTTCCATTCAAATGGGATCAAATTTGTCAACCCTTCTGTACTTAGTCTGATCTATTCACTTGTTCAAGTAGCATCAATACGTTTGCTTTTTTTTTTTTTCTTTTCTCCTGAGAATTACACTCTCTTTTTGTCTTACCTTTAGGTGCACCCTCCGGGACATTCAGCATTTATGAAAAATCTCCTCCCACGATGTGATGTTACGACAGTCTAACATTTCACATTAACTTCCATCAGCATGACCAACAGTCTCTTGATCTTTAACAAATGAAAACATTCAGTCTCTTTCCAAAAAGACAGCAAGGCTAATTGTCAACTTTGAAAGAAAAATAATTTGTGACTTCAAATAGCTTTACAAACACCTTCCTTTTGTTATGTTACTTTTATAATGTACTCTGGTCTGATAATATAAAGTCTGTGCTTCTGAGAAATCAGCCTGTGTTGTTTTTGTCATTAACAAAAAGATCCTACTGACAACACATAATAAAAGACTCTACAGCTATGTGCTGGTTAAAACATGCAGAATGTGCTGGGCAATCCTTCACTAGTTACGTTTTCTAATGTTGTTATTGTGAAAACTATTTGTGCTGTTACTACAAACGCTGGATTGGAACTAACAGATACAACTGACTTCTGACAACAGTGGATACTCCATTGCTTGAAAAACTAGCCTTTTTATTTTCTATGTTTTATTTTCTCACAAAGGATAGAAGTTTTGTCAACAGCCTTGTTGCCCACAGGTCATTTCACAGAGAAACAGAGTAATAGATGAGATGCCAAAGAAGAAAACATTCTGGCTCCCTTTGCTTGGACCAGGCTTTGAAAATGGAGGCTAAGCTTACGAAATGTATATTGTTTGTTGTTTTATTTTTTTAGAATTACACATAAGCAGGTAACTGCTACTCCATAACTACAAAAAAAAATCAAAAAGAATCAAAAAAAAATAAAGTTCCCTTTTCTCTCTAGCAAGAATCTAAGTTTCAGAATTCTCACCGTTAAAGCCCATTCTCTGATCAGCAGGGCCCCAGCAACAATTGTGCTTTCTAAGGCAGAACAGGAAACACAGTTCAGGAAGAACAGCTACAGTTAGATTTCACAGCAAAGGGGTTAAAAAATAGGACAAAAATATATGATTGCTATTTGTGAATAAAAAGCAGACCCTTTTACTGTAGCATCTAAACAAGGGTAAAAATGTTTTCTAACACAATAGGACAAGCAGTTGTAGCTGCTTCCTAATGCAAAGTAGAACAAGGTTTTTTTGTTGTTTGTTTGTTGGATATTACCTTGTTGTCCATAATGGCAGAGAGCCTTCCCAGGTCTGGCAGCCCTCACAAAAGAGTCAGTGCAAACTCTTTCCATGATGCATTTCAAAACTCTGAAGCTGATCATCACACCTCCTTTAACGAGAAATAAACAATAATTTTTAAAAAATGCTAAAGGAAGTTAGAGAGGAAAATTTTTATCAGCATTGAACTACTAATGAGATCATAACTTTGGCTTCCAAAACCAAATTTCTAGATGACCTTTCTTTTATTCTGAACCTGTTTTTTTTTTCTTTCTTTCTTTCTTTCTTTCTTTTTTTTTTTTTTTTTTTCCCTGAACCAGAGTTTGAGTTGCTTTCAGTGTTTTGTTGGCTAGATATTTTTAAGTGGAAGTTCAAGTGCTGTACAGGTGGACTCATTCTTCTCCCACTAAAGGCAAGGGTAACCTTTCGGCTGTCTTAGACCTGATCAGGCTCACACAGAGGGTGCAATACTCACACAGCTGAGACTTTCTTCGTGATTCTCTTTAGAGAGAATCTCTAAAGAGAATCTTCCTCTCCTTCCTCACCCAAATCCACTTCTCAGAAATGTTCAGAACCACATCAAGAGCATTCTTCCATCTTCAAGCTTTGTCTTGGGGTGGGGAACCACGGAGCTAGAGCCTGGCCCCAGCACTTCACAGATATGTGGATGTGCATCCTAGCTGAACCAACAGTTCACAGAACTGAAAAAAAAAAGGCCCCCCTTTAACATTACATCATCAGACCATGTTTTCTTCCCTACTACATGACCTAGCAAACATACCTAGAGTATTTTGAATTCTGTAGAGAAAAAAAAAAAATCAATTTCAAAGGTATTTCTGAAATATTATTTTGCCTTTAATCCTGTTCAACAGAAACCCCATCACAGCCATTCTTTTTAATGCCTTTTTGTTCTTAAGACTATCACCAGAGCAACACAGAAAAGATATTCTTTATTCCGTGATCACTCTAAACAAAAATTAATGTCAGTGTTCATTAAGGCTGAACCATCAAACCCAGATCTTTTGCATGAATATAAATCGAAGATGCCAGTGAATTAATAATATTAGCAAAACATTTAAAATGTTGTTTTTCTGCAACTGTACCAGTTAACTCCATCTGAAACACCTGTACCACAATCTTTTGCTGGTACTAAATCACTAGCAATTATCTTTCAATTTTTCTTAAAATAAAAAGAAGCAAACTACAGTTCGGTTTTGGAGTTATTTAGAATGAAAAGGATTTTTTGTTTTTGTTTTTGTTATTTATTATTATTTATTTTGTTTTAATATATATACGTATATATAGTCTTGCAATGGCAGGATCACATGAAAATGGAACTCCCTTCCTTCTTTCACAAACAATGCATAAACAGTCAGGCCATATATTACAGAAAACTTGATACAACATAACACCTGAATAGTCACAGATGCTGTATTTTAGGCTAGATATAGCTTGTGATGTTCACTATTTTTCCCATCATACACAGAAACAATGTGAGCAATGTGGGGAACAAACAATAGCAGAAAAATAAGAGAAATTATATGCTGCTTCGGCAATGTGGTACTGAATCACCTGATTTATAATTTTGTTCTTTTCACCACCTCCTTTTCTCTTTGGATTATTTACAGAGCTGAGTGAACACAAAAAATAAGAACAATTTTTAAAAATTTCCCCAAGTAATTCACAAGTGTGGATCAAATTCATTGACTGTGTTTGATTTGTTTCACAGGACTGCTACCAGTAGATATATCTTCTTTTTTACTCAGTACTTTGCGTAGTCATCTAAGATGTGGCAGACACAACTTCAAAACCCAAAGAGATCAAACACTACATCTTCCAGAAAATAAAATGACCACCAGGCTGCAGAGTTCTAAAGAGAAAAGTGAAGTTAAATAGTGTTTTCTGCCTCTTTCTCACTGATGTTCATTCTGTTTCTATATTTCCTGGAGTGCAAACTAGGGTTCCAATGTTTCAGGTGTTTCAGATGTTTTCAAACATCTTCATTATAACAACAGAAATTCTCTGAGTGCTCTGTAACTAGATAAATATTACAAATTTTGGACAAACTGAGAAATTATGAGAGAACTCTGAGTTGATGATTTCCCCCTGCCAGTCTTAAGAAAGCAATTTTGTGCTCATGGAATTTTCTCCCGTGGTGCAAGATGTAGCTTCATGTCCAGTCATCAGTCTAAGTGCATTAATTCTTCTTGTGTCATAAAGCTATTTTGCATCCTCCTCATGCACAATTGGGTAAAATCACCCCAACACTATGACCTAGCCATTTGTTTTTGTCGTAAGTGATTCAAAATTGTGCTTGGAAAATGCGTCACTTTGTTTACTGAAACCAAATTTTTTTCTTTTCCACTATTTTTTGCTTTTTAAAAAAAAAAAAAAGCTTGAATAAAATGATTACATCTAAATACCAATTTAAGTGCCAATCTGCAACTTCAGTCAGTGATCAGTCTTGAGGTGCTCCCCCATGTAAGTAGGCTCACCCAAGAGTGCAGGCAGAAGTTTCACCTCTGATTGCCTTGAATGCAATGACCCAGTGAGTGCACAGGTTGCACTACACCATCACTACACCATCAGCAGGTAGCTAAGATTACCCTTGCATACGTTAATGAATGTGTTCTTTTGCAACTTTTGCACTTCAAAGGCACTTTAGCTATGCTTCAGCGAGCCTTCAAGATAAATACAAGCTCTTAAAATAGACAATTCTGAATAAGTTAATTCCACTTAATGCCATAATTTAATAATTACAACATATGCCATTGAGCCAAATTAGCATAAAGCATTAGCACTATTCAAAAAGTTGATGTGTGATACTTGGGCAATTTTAATGTCTAAGTTTGGAACTTTTTTTTTTTTAATTTTATTTTGAAGCAACTTTGCCTAAAAAGAAAGTAAGGATTTACTTGTTACAGAATATGACAAGTTTATAGCTGTCAAAATCATAGTAGAAATGGAAGTCTTCCCATATCCCAAACTGGAATTAAAATTCAAGACAAGCAAGGAATTTTCCAAATGAAATACATACTACTAACATACTTACTGGTTACCAGCAAGACCCTGTCTTAACTACTGTTGCACATGAAGGAGGCTTTTTTTTCTTTTTCATTTCGCAAGGCATAGGGATTTTTCCGTTAAAAATCCCATTAGTAAAATACACGTGCCAAAAGGAAGAATGAAGCCACGCAAAGTCAAAATATATCATATGCTTGATTTCAGGTTGAACTGTCATTTTCAAGAGATGTTAGCAAAGGTATTCTACAAAATCATTACATCAGTCATTACGTATTTTTAAACATTCCTAAATAATGCCATCCAACATCACAAACAAATTAGTTCATTTCAAAAATGAGGCTACTGTAAGGGTTGTATAATAATTAGACTCTCAAGCTCTGGCATGTGCACCTTCATTAGTCACAACCACTCATCACACAAACACAATGAAACAGTAAACCTTAAAAAAAACTCATGAGTTTAAAATTTCATGGTAAGGGTTTACGAAGGATGAGAAAAAAAAAAAATCTGAGAATCAAGGACTCCTTGATCCAAAAAGCGTAGGACTTCACACCTACTGTAAAAATTATATAGATAAAAAAGCAGGGCACTCTTTCTTAAATGTATAGGCATCTTCAAATATTCTAAAGAAAGTACATTTTTTGATTTGCACTTTTAAATAATACAGGATGGTGATCAACTCACATTTGTTTTCAAAAAGACAGGAATGGTATGACTCAGACGACATAAAAGTTATTTTAAGTTTTAACATTTAGGAACATATTTTTTAGGAACTGTATTTATAGGCCTCTGCAAACTGTAATTCATTTGCTCCAAAATTCCATATGAAGTCTAGAAATAATGCTATGCTTACTCTTGTTGTATATACAGAAAGTCAGGAGAGAGGAGCTGAGCAGTCTGCTCAAAACCAGTTGGTGTCAGAAACAGTGTTCTTAATCAGTAATAAAATAAATAAATAAATAAATAAATAAATAAATAAATGGATAAATGGATAAATAAATAAATAAAAAGGTGGCCTCCAGGGCCCGTTCATGAGAAATTTCTTAGAGAATTGAGGCCAAAAGAGAACTTGACATAATAAGTTACAAAAGACAAAGTATAGACATGCTCCAACAGAAAAGGAAAACGTCACGCTCAAACTGAAGAGCAAATAACTGCCCAGAAAGCAGCTTGAAGAATGCATTTGTTTTAAGGATTATTTAACTATTTT